CATTTTACAAGTTCAATACCCAAGATTTGCGGCTGTGGTTGACTCACTATCTATTATCTATTTTTGTTTGGCCTCATACTGTGTGTAGTTACTTTTCATGTTCTTCCTTTTTATTATATCTCCACAAATGGAATGTTAATTGTTAAGAAAGGCTGATGTAACCAAACACATTTTAAACCTTAAGTATTTCAAATGTGATCTCTTGAATGTGCAATGTGTAGTGTAAAGCATAACAAATGGCAGACATTAACTACAGGGTAACCCAACTCATGACGATTATAAAATAGAAGTGTTGTTTAACGTTACCTCAGAGTCTTAGCCACTCAAATTGTAGTCATTGTCCCTCTGCTGTCAGTTAGTTGTGAGCTTTTTATTTACCTGTGAATTAAGATCCTATGCCTCACAGGAGTAGAGGTACAATAATGCCCCTTTCTTCTGTGGAGCAGGTGACATGGAATGACGTGTTGCAGTATTTTAATAGAGCTCCCTTCCCATGATGCCACAGGTCTTGCTCATTATTTATCAGTCTGCTGTGTTTGTAATGGCTGCTGCATTCCAGTGCGTCTCCTAGAACTTGTTATGAGGCTTTCTCTGAACTATGTGTTTGTTGTACCTTTAAAAGGCAAACCATAATACATCTGCAAAGTATTTGGTTAAAAGAAACCCAATAGTGCTCTAGGAGGAGATTCTGGTGATAACAGGATTACCTTTTAGTGGCTAATGGTTGCCCAACACTAAAAGCAGTTGTGATGTCACAAAGTGGGTACATCTGATTGTTGCCGAATCTCTTAACATACTTATACATATTTATGTATAAAAAACATGAAAAAGCAGATTTTGCACAATAGGTGACCTTTAAGACAAAAGGATGCTAGTATTTGCTATGGAACTATTTATCAGTGTCTACCGAACACAATGACTGCATGTGGTTGAACACACTCAATGTGTTTCCCACTGTGTCAATAATGGCCGTGTTCTCATTACTGCACATCTTCATGTTTATGTGCATATCTTACCTAATGTCTCAAATCAAGCCAAAGGACAAACATAACAAAATGTTCCAATGTGCAAAACATCTATGTTAATAAAAGTATTAACGATTTTAGATTTCTCGTCCCCTGAGTCGTGTTGGACGAAAAGCTCATATGAGCGTAATGATGTTAGTTACACCGTGAGCCCCATTAACATCGCAAAGCCAAGACGAATAAACTCAATGATGTGCTCTGATGAACTATGAAACAATTCAGCAGTTTGATATATTGCTCCCTTAAGCAAAATGCAACTGCTTCGAAGTGTGTTGTCGTGGGAACAGAGTGTTAACAACAGATTTCACTTGTGCAAAAAAAAAAAAAACTGTTTCAGCGAGTTGTCATTCAAAAGCAATTTAGGGAAGCAGTAGGATCTCATTATTACATCAATTTCATTCCAATTAGAGGGAATGAATGAAATGATCCCTTTCATAGCATGCGGCAAAATGACTGGCATAGATACAAAACATCATATCGGCAAATTGACTTAATTCATTTGTTTTTCTGATTCATCACTCCTTGTTAAAAAAATGAACACAAAAGGTCAAAAACTAAATTAGCATGTCACACATTGTTATTGGGTTTAATAAATCACACATTAATCTAGCTTTTTTTTTTTAATGAAATTGCTATTTAATTAGCCTTTTCAATTGAACCTACACATTCTGCAGATGTGAACACAGCAGGGATCGCTATGTCACGCATGTTCTTTTTAATATTAGAAAACGTTATGAAATTAGAAAGTCAGAGCTTGATTCAAAGCCTTCAACAAAATAAGCATTCATATTCAACAGGTGCTACGCGCAAAATCCACTTCCTCAAGTAATTACAGCAACAAAAGAGACGGTGCAGTAGGTTGCAAACATATCATTTAAACATGACTGACAATTATTTTCATCAGACTGAACATCAGATGCATTGTATATTATACAATTGATGGAAGTGTAATATGCTATATGTGTAAGAAAATGTGTTTAACATCAAAGATTAAAAGAATTGTTCTATATTTGTCAGTATCCATATCCGCACCTCCATATGAATACAAAGCTTTCTTTTCTTTGTTGGTGAAAGTTATATCCAAAATCTTTTAGTATTGCACCCTTATCATTTGTAGACTTTTTTCCTTTGTTTGTAGGACCACTCTCCAAAAATATAGAGGCTGTGGTCAGACTGGAATCCATATAAATATTACATTTAAAGCTACATTTTGACGCTGACAAAGTCTCTTCACAGTGGGAGGAATCAGCTATTTTGTTCTCTCTCTGACCACACAGAGTACTTTTAGTTTGTGCTATTTGTCAGAGGTGGAAAATCACTGTGCTTTTGTCACAAACACTTTGATGTTACCTAGTATTGACTGCAAGAGCAGTTCTCTTTCACAGTGCCAAAATCAACCACATCATCACTCCGATACAAGGGTGTATAACTGAGAATGAAGTTGTCTCTCTCTTTCATAACTTCCTAGTGTCTGACATTTATTTGACTGAACACTTTCCTGAGGAGTAGAACAGGATTTTACACCTTTTTTGTGAGCATAGCTTGACTTTGCTGCTTAGTTTATAGTTGCCTAACAACACCCCAAGCTTTGAATGTCAGAATGACTGATCATAATGTTCACACAGTTAGTTTGTGTCCACAATATCTCTGTTTCAGAGTCTGTTATATCAGATGTACTGAGAACAGAAATAAGAGTTATGTTTTAGAACACATTTTATTTATAAGGAACACGCTATTCTCAGGTTTATCAACTGGATCAACTTCTGCCTGAGATATGACATGTAATTGGGTCATTCCAGAATTGGAGGACAATTTAGACTCCAACATTTTTGAAAAATGAACCTTTTATTTAAAACATTTTTTTTATGTATTTAGGAAAAACAGATTATAAATCATCAAAAAAAGTGATTTGCCCAGCTAGGCATCAAATGTATATTTTCCAATGAAGAATTACCCCTGTTACTCTAATTATAGTAACAGGGTTGACAATCAATGCTAATTTGAGTTTTAACCTCAGGAAGTATTGCTAGATGTAGCATGTAATGCTACTTTCAAGGCAAGGACACACTTGGATATCTAATGCAAGAAAGATAACTTTGAAATGAATATGCTTTATTCTGATAATATCAGTAACAGTGTTGAGTGGGTTAGAGTGCCACACTCTTTTAAGACTGAAAAGATTGTAAAAATATGAAAAATAAAAGAGGACTTAGTTTTGGTCTACCCATGGCACTAGCACATGGCTTGCTGATGTCACTTCCACTGTGTCATCTGATTTACAGTTTGTTCACTTCCTGTGCCAATCTAAAAAGGTTTGGGTAACAGGGTTGAACGCATGTTGAGGGACACACCTTCTGTGCAAAATTACTGTTATTTAAAATATGTTTATGATTTAACAAATTGATTTTGCCATTACAAGAGACATATATCAATAGAATAATACCAAAAAAAGTAAATAAAATCCCTATTTTAAATGTTATATTTGACATGCAAGTTGGTCACCAAGAAGCGGGGACAAGAGAAAAATGCCATTTTAGGGGATGTTCGAGAGCTATTTGATCATTTAAATAATATTTTGAAACCACTTTTTCTACAACTTGATATACATTTTGTCTCAAGACAAGTATGTTTAACACAACAAGTGCATGCTTTAGCATTTTGGGCATGGATTATTAGATTTTTTATATGGGGGACATGAAATGTCCTCCAATTCTGGAATGACCCAAAATTAGGCATGTTTGCTGGTTGACCTTTCCAACTGTGATGTTATTGAATGTACCTAAAGCTATCACCATTAAAATAGGATTTCCCTTTATCCTCTTAACACTGAAAAGGGCTCAATTAGGGAAGTTTGTTCTTCTTTACTGCCCAATTTCATAATATTAATCGTTTGAGTGTATTCTTAAATCAAAGCAATGCATATAAAGAAAACCCAAATCCTCTGTGTACTGTGAGCAGAACATATCTTTCAATACTACCTGAGCAAACTTAAACTTGTCTTTGTATCTTTAAGTACACAAGCCATTGATCTGTTTGGGTTCCAAATCCAAACATTGATGAGAGATGATTTTTATTATGATTGGCTGAGCAATCATTGTGATTGAATGTTTCAATCTTATTCTACTTTGTGATGTAATTGATGTACAGTACGGTGAGACCACACTCAAATCTGAAGACGCCTATTGATTTAAGTATTGACCAAATTATTATTAGACTAATGTTTTCAGGTTATCAAAGATGATAACAGAGGACTGTTAGAGAATAATTCTTCCTTACTCCTAAGATATTTAACCTTATTGCCTGTTGACGTTAATAACCAATCCTGTTTGTGACGCCAGCTTTAAGGAATGTGCTCCAGCACTTAGTGTCAAGTTTTATGGCCTGATAGGGGAGTTTACGACTGTGGGAACACTGGCTTTCTAAGAGACATCTCCTGTAGCTCCACAGATGTTTACGCCTCCCCCAATATGCTCATTAACTCTCTGTAAACTAGATAAAAGGTCTATCGAGAGATAGGCTGAGCAGAATTGACATGACAACCCACCCGTGCAGTCAGAACCTTTTGCTGCTGTGACTTGTGATATGAATTATCCGGCCGTTGACTTGTAATAAACTATCATTGTTTGACATCAAAGCTCCAACTCTCCTCGTGTCTCTATGAGTCCTGACTCTCCATTGCTGCAGAAGTTTCCCTTACATAAGTAAATCAAGTCCTTTTTGACGAGAAACTAACCTCATATTTTATGTAAATGTTATATTGACGTCCGCTGCTGGTTTGATTACTTTATTTTTCACTTTTGTTCCTTTCTTCCTCAGTTCATGAATAAAGCAATCACGGAGGTTAAGTGAATGGCCTTGAATTGTGCTTGATTGCAAGCTACCAGATTGCTGCTATTTAAATCATCCTATTTTTTTCTATATCCTCAGATTTGAATGAAAATGCCCTCTCCATGTGTTTCTTTTCTTGGTTTGCAGGCCAGTGGGGTCAGTGTATCGGGGAGCAGTGTGGTTCTGGTGGGGTTCAGTCAAGGACAATATGGTGTGTTCACACGGAGGGCTGGACCACCCACCATACCCACTGCCAGCACATGGACAAGCCAGAAAGCCAGCGTCACTGCTTTAAGGTCTGCGACTGGCACCAGAACCTGTTTGAGTGGGAGGTGTCAGACTGGGGGGGCTGTGTTCTCGTCCCTTTCTTCTCCAACGAGCTCAAGCTGAGGATGGCTGAGTGCGTAACGGCGCAGCACGGCATCCAGAGGCGCAAAGTCCACTGTGTGCGCACTTCAAACCGTACCACAGTCAATTTGAGGATATGTGAGTTCTTTTCCCAGAAGCCACCTGTGGAGCAGGCGTGCCTCATCCCCTGCCCCCAGGACTGTGTAGTTTCAGACTTTACGTCCTGGTCCAGTTGCAGCAAAACGTGCGGCACAGGCATGCAGCATCGGACTCGACATGTTCTGGCCACGCCAATGTTCGGAGGGGAAAGCTGCCCCAATTTGACAGAGACCAGGACTTGTTCTGGTTATGTTGACTGCCCTGCTGGGGAGGGGGAGTACCAGTACAGCCTTAAAGTAGGGGCCTGGAGCGAGTGCCGACTTCCGTATCACAAGGACGCCCTGTTGAGTGGCAGGACCACAGTGGACTTCAGCTCCAATGAGAACAACACAGTCACATTGCACATGCAGACCTCCCACCACCACGCCCACCACCACCACCACGATAACCCCATGTCATGGGAGCTGGAGGTGGGATACCAGACACGACAAGTCCGCTGCACACGGAGCGACGGCAAGAACGCTATGCTGAGGTAAGACATTACACATGCTACCATGTGCTGCACCTTTCATACAGCGAGAATGAGAAATAGTGAAACTGACATTTCTATTGGTCTAAGATTAATCCACGATTATGACGAAAGAAGGGCACACTGGAAAACTGAAACATTGACTTTAATTAAATGTATTATGTCAACATTTTTCACATAACTGTATTAGGGTAGATGAAAGCAATAATATTAAGTTTTATTCAAATATATTTGGTGTAAATTAGATGAAATTTGTTGACATAATACATTTAGTTAAAGTCAATGTTTCAGTTTTCGTCAGTGTCGCTGTGTTAAATAAACTGGTTTGTTGTAGATCTGGGGGACAGACCTCGACATAAATCTCTTTTTCCATGTGTTGAGGCTGCTCTTCTACTCTATGTGGGCGTCTGCAATTTGAAATAGTCCTAATGGAGTTGATTGCTTTTACGGCTCTTTCACACTCATATTGTTTAATAACACGAGAGGGACATGATCAATGACCATCCTCCTTCATGATCCCGGCGGGTAATTTTTTCCTCGTGCAGAGGAGTATTCTGTGAAACTAAATGTTTTGTATTGATGGTGGTTATTTATTCAATTATAACTGGATTATGTGGGAGCTGGTGTTTCAGCAGCATATTAGCATGGTGGTGAGTCACTATTATGGTAAATGTCAAGTGCTGCTCCCCTCCTGTCCCTGCTGTTTGAGCAAACCATGGTATTTAGATTTGATAAGAATGGATGTTACTGCTCAGAGCGAAAACACACTCATTCAAACACATGCAGAAATAAACAACATACCACTGCATCCATTATATCAAGGAAATAGAAAATCATTACATATAAATTATATTGACTACATACTCGACCCTTATCTTAGTGCAAGGTGACACTATTAACTGACTGCTGAAATCAATTGTTAACTTCCATTCTTGGAGGCTGTGGTATCAGAACCACTTAACATAAGTTACTGTGGGAGCATTACATTTTATATTTAGAGTCATGGACAGTGCATTGCAGTTGTGTACAGCTAAATAAAAGCTTAGCCGTGTCAGATTTAGGGGTTTTAAGAAGTATCATTGTTGTTTTGATGTTGTAAATTTTGTTTAAAGGGCTTAAGATAGGCTGTCTAGTTATGTGTTTGATATTTGCCCCTTAATATCCCCAACAAGGCAGGCTCCCTGGCTTTATGACTTGATTGTGAAGAGACCATTTATAGTTCGGTGGCTGATTAGCATGGCACTTGCTAAGAAGTGCGATCGGGGCTTTTGAATATGGATTTCCCACCTGAGTTCTGCCTCATTCTGCTTTTCTAATTACAGCCTAATTAGAAAGTAAAATTCTTAAATGAGCATTGTACTCGCATCTTAATAACCTACCTAATTAAATTGTTCAAATTAAACAATGGAATTGTAATGACTTGACTAATGCTCTGGGGCCTCATTTATAAAGGGATATACGCTCAAAAAATGGTGTACGCCAGTTTCTACACAATGTTTGCGATTTATAAAATACTAACTTGACGGGAGAACGTGCGGTCCTCCACGCAAACTCTAACCCATGCGTACGCTCTAAGCACAAAAACGGGAGAGACGAGAAACTGCGACACCGTTGGCAGAAGGAAGAATGGAGAGAAATATGTGGAAATAAAAACATAACTTGGAGAAATAAATAAATACGGATATGTTATTTAAAACCACCTCGAATATGTTGTGTTAATGTTATGAAATGTTTTCTCATAAATGATGGGGTAAGCAGGAGGACAGAATTACGTCTAAACTGACGCCGTTTTGCATTTCTATAGGTTGTAGATACGAGCATGGTTTTATACTATCACGTTTAATCGTGTTTTATGCCATTTGCCAAGACTTGATAAGTCGCTCGTACAACACAGGAGGAGGTATGGAAACTAAGAACACCATATGTGGTAAATTGTACAGCTGATATAACACAACACATTAGTTGTATTTCCTTTAACTGGTGGATATAGAGTTGCTGCGGGGGGGGGTTGAGATGCACAGGCTGCAGTGGAGACGCTGCGCACAGCTGATCGACAGCTGGGACACAAACCACCAAATACAAACAAATAATTCAGATCCAGTCGTCATGACTCCACTCCGGAGGGATTCCCCGATCATTTCTTAGAGTTTCTCATCAAGGGGGGGTCTCCTGTCCCCGGTACAAACACACTGCCTGAGGAAGGCTATGTGTATTTATTTTGTCATTAACCTTTTTCGGACCACTTATTTATTTATGTTGGTGACGATCCGACCTCCATGCTGCTACACTGGTTCAAACTGCATCCACCAAACAATGTGATTTGTCTCGACCTCCCCAAAATATCATGTATAACAGCTTTGAATATAGTCATGTAGGGAAGGGGAAGCTGTAAAGGACATGTGCTTAACAGGTAGTCAGCAGCATGTTTTATTTGATTTCTTAGATTCTCACTGCATAAAATGTATTCACAGGTATATTTAACAAATGTAACATCGTTCCCGCTATCTCACTCTCTGCACAGCAACTCTACTCATACACTGTGAAGGTGTTACCTAGTTAAGTTGTATTCTTTATGTGATTCTAGGATTTTAATTGAGGTATTTTATCTTAACATTTTCTTACTTTTTCTCAATCTTCAGCCTCTGTACCAGGGACAATGCCCCCTTGACCTTTCAGGCCTGTGTGATGCCCAAAGACTGTCACACTTCTGATTGGTCATCGTGGAGTCCCTGCTCCAAGACCTGCCGCTCCGCCGACCTGTCGCCTGGTTACCGCCTCCGGTCACGCATCATGACGCAGATCCCCGTCCGAGGGGGGGAGCGCTGTCCTGCCCTTGAGGAAAAAGAAGCGTGCAACATCATAGGAGATTTGCTTCCAAACTGCCCGAGGTAGTTATTCATGACAGTGGTTATCATCTCAATTCAGCTCACAATCCCCAGAAACAAAAGCTTTGTTCACCGGTAATCTCCTGATGCAGATGCTAATGCGTTAAGTGTCAAAGTCTAAAAACCAAATAATGACTTTTAATTTAGCTTCTCTGAGCTTTTTTCACCTGAGTGATTATGAAAGAAAGCCTAGAGGCTGCAATAATTCATGATTTCACTGTTGAATTACTTTTTTTTGGGATTAGCTCAATTATGTTGTGCCACTTACAATAATGTTATGTCCTGTTGGGAGTTCCGAACCCACTGGACGTGACAGGACAGTCCTATAACAGTTTGAGTTAGGCTTAAGCTAATATTACGTGCAGTAAACAAAGTAAATCAATAGAGTTTTTTCTCTTCCCTGCCGGTAGATTGTTTTATTTGCTAAATCTACATGGAGGGCCTGCGAGCAGAGGATTTACATGATTAGGGAAAACTCATTACGGAAATTAAGCATTCGATAGATTACTACAGGCTGTTGTCATAGTGGACCCATCCAATATTATTGCTTTTCCGCACCGCTGCATATTTCCTAGTTGAAACCAAACATTTGTTGAGAAGTTCTGAAATCCAAGTAATCATGCCTCCTTCAAGCTGACATACTGTGAGAGACTATTTCCGGAGACTGCTCCCGCTAATTCATCTTTTTCTTTCTGTACATTTTCAGAAAACAACTGCCACTACTCTGTATATGCTGACACTTTCTTTTTTTAATCAGTCAATTATACATTGTTTCTGATTGGATTGTGCCTGTATTCATAAGAGTACACAAACAAGACTTATCAAACAGTGACTCCTGACACTGATATCTTCTCGTGTTTTTCCGTCAGGTATGTGTGGAGGGCCACTGACTGGGACGACTGTCGAATCCTCCCCTTACTGAGCCATCAGGACCAGCGGCTGGCCAACATCTCCATCCTGTGTGGAAGTGGGATCCAGACCAGGAAGACCTACTGTGTTCAGGTCCCCGACAACTCAGCACCACATCACAGGAAGGAGGGTAAGATCTCACGCCACTTGGTGATGCAAAAGTTAAACCATAAATACATTCTGTCTAAACCAGCCTGTCCTCCTCCAAAAAACGACCAAATAAGGTCGATTGTTCAGCAGCTTATTACGACCTATAGTCACGTTTTAAAATGTAGCACCTCTAGTGGTCGTGTAAGAAACAACAATTTGCGGCATATGGGCTGATTCTCCCGTTGATTGCAAACGCTCCGGAGGGTCGTATATTCACAAATAACCCTCTCTGGAAAATCCTAAATTGTAGGATAGTTTGGTCATTAAAATGCTTTTTGATCAGATTTCTAGCAAAAAGTGTATATTGTACTTTTAGAATCCACGTCCAGTGGATGTGTAGGATCTATAGTTTGATAGATATTACGAACATGATTTGAGGTCCCGCCAGGAGAACGTGTATATACTACGTCTTTCCCCTATTCAGCGTCCATGTAAAGTTGGCGTCAACGCTCACGGGGTGAAAACAGTATTCTCGGTCTCTAAGTTTTCATAATAAAACCGGAAGTATTCCCCTCACTATCAAATGATTACACAGTGATATCTGCATTACTCATCCACTAAAAAACATCAGTTTATCCTTGTTAATTACACAACATTGATTGGTTTAAATTGTGTGCAATAGGGGTGTAACGGTTCACAGAAGTCACGGTTCGGTTCATACCTCGGTTTGGGGGTCACGGTTCGGTACGGGTTCGGTACAACAAGGAAAAGCAAAAAGAAGTCCCAAATGCATAATTTTTTTGCTGTTATTTATTTTTAACAGTAGTGCAAGTTTTGGTATGAAAATAAGGAACTCTTAACATTTGGAATCATTAACTGTATTACACAGTTAAAAACAAACCACAAACAGTAACACACAGATGGCCATAATATTTATAATGGCTGATGTCAAACAAAAAGGTTAAATAAGCTGTACAACTAAAAAGAATGTCTTGAAATAAATAATAAGAAAATAAAATCTGTACCTTTAGGAGCAATGTCTAACATGTGTAATTAACTTGTGAGTGTGTGAGGCCGTTATGCCTAAATAAAGGTACTCAAGCTTTACTCTATTTTCAAGTTTTTCTTCAAAAAGATGAGTTTGTCTACATTGTCAGTAGTGAGGGCAGATCTGTTGGCGGTAGCTATGTCACCTGCCGTCGAGAAAACCCTCTCGCTGGGGACTGAGACTGACTCGGATGTGATTGAGCATGTCTGACGTGTTACCACTAGCATACCGCACCGCTGTCGAACAACGCCGACACACCGTCCTAGTCCGATCCACAACTCGCACCCCATCATTGTTGTAGTCCACAGGGAACCCGAAATGTTACCACACACCTGATTTAAAAGAAGCAGGTGGGTCTTCTAGCTCCTGTGTGTTCTGTGAACTCGCCATAGCTAGGCTACTAAATTTTCTTCTTCATATATTGTGTTCGTTTTGTTGTGTTTTGTTCTTGTTCTTCATTTGTTATTTACGGGCGGCTGGCTTTTAGGCGCAATACCGCCCCCTGGATTATATATAGTGTAATACTGCCCTGAGTGCCCCACTCGTAAAAAAAAGGCGTATTCGCCGTGTGACTGCATGTGCCGAACTGTGACGTCTGAACTGTGACGGTACGGGACGAATACGGCTACCGTTACACCCCTGGTGTACAATGCTTTTGTGTTTTTAACCTTCGATTCTGAGAAACAAATAGTTTTTTCGAAGTTTGGGATGGCCTAAGACACTACACTACCCATAATCCTCATCTATCGTTTGGGACTACAACATCCTCTTTGCTTGACAAACCCCGTAATTAATCCTCAAGCTCTGTGATTCGATGTTGGAGTGGCAATGCGCCAAGGTTACGCCGAGTGTCAGCTCTTTGAAATGGAATGAAACCACGGCAGACTATCCAAAACTGGACTCGAACGGTTCCAGCCCCACCCCCCAGAACTACCCATGCTGGCTACTTGTGTTTCGCAACATTTGAAAAGCCGTTTTCGTATTTCCCATAATTAGAAGTTGCCAGTATTAAACTGTGTACATCCCTGGAGGTTTAGGGGATACGAAACACAGCGGTGTTATCAAATTTAAAACATAAAATTAATAAATGGGTGAAAATTACTTGTGTCCATAATGGGCAGTATTAATATATATCCACATGACAGCTAAGGTCAGAATAGCTTTATTTAATAGCTGGTCTTCTGTCTGTGACCCCTCCTGTTGTTAATTAATAAGCCTGAAACATGCACTTGTCAAGTTTCAGAGGCACATTTTGCAAATATGGCAGTAGCCATCGATCAGCTTAAGATAAGATAAGATAAGATATACTTTATTGATCCCAAGTTGGGAAATGTTGTTGTTACAGCAGCACATGTACTGTACTACTTTGTTCTACTCCACTACAATTCAGAGGTTAACCTGGTATTTTTACTCCACTACATTTATTTTAGTTACTTTGCAGATTCTGATTAATGATGTGAAATATAAACAACCCTTAAAGCAGACTTTAGTTACACCTGAGTCAAATTCAGGGAAGGTGATTGTCAAGTGCCAACATAAACTATGCAATATATTAGATGTTAAGTACTTTATCAGACTTAATATTTATCTTTTGATACCCCCAAAGTTGTGTTCTTATTCAAAATAAGACCTTAAAGTATTCTTTAATGTTTAAATAAAGCCTTATTAGTTTGTCTGTTTTGCACATCCTCCTGTTAATATCTTTGGACGTCCTGCACTAAACTGTTTTATTGTAGAGATCACTACAGTAGCTTCTTCATGTTTTCTATTCTATATTTCTATCATTTACCTTCTACTTAATCCAGAACAGACAGACCGCTGTCAAGGACTTATTGACCGTTGTTAAGGACGCTCACATCTGCAGAAAGAAGTTTGGTCGATTTAACTGTATACTCTGCAGTGTTTAAGGACTTGTTAGTGGATCAAAAACTGTGAACAGAGTTGTGCCATAAAGTTGTTGTTGTCGCAGTTCCAGCCGTTGGTGCTCCGTGGAACAGAGTGTTTTTTTGTCTTAGCGGTAGAAATACGATCATTTTTAAGTCAATAAAATCATTTCAATTAATATTGGAATGATATCGATTCCTTAGTTTGTTTAGTATCTGGCCGTGTAATAAGCGGGATAATGTGCAGCGAGGCGGTCATTATGGGGAAAAGTTTGGACAGTGAATATGTTAGCTGAACATAGAATATCAATGAAGACAGCTCTTTGGACCAATGGATTTGTGGGACAACGATCAATACGTCAACTGCAATGTTTATCTTGACGTGACCGGCACAGCTTTAGCTAATGCAAACAGATGTGGCTGCATACCTGCAATATGGAAGGCTCCTGGTATAACGTGTGAAACAATTTGCTTCAGTGTCTATCTACTGCAGTAATGCAATCGACAAATAAAAGACATTTCAATCTACGGAACAAAGCAGACAAATCTGTGCAACTCACTTTATTATCAACGTGGTTAAGCAAGAATCTAATATTAACAAAGGAGATCAAACACCATGTCAATTACTTTGGTAAGAAGACAAAATGCACGGTGGACATTTAGTGAATTTCGTTATTTTTAGTAGTAGAAAGGTCTTATGGGGTTCATACAGACTTGCAGGGCAGTGTGTTTTCACATTTGATTAAATAAGTGGATGAATTGATTTACTTTGAACATTGCAAGGAATTTCATCATCCCTCCCCCTGTGAATTATGTAGAAGTTATTATGCGTTTTTCTTAGTATCATGCAGATTTTAAAAGTGTTTATTAATGTAGACAGGTGGCTTACGATATTGAAGTAATTCAATATAGAGAATGTAACTTCAGGAGACAGTTATTTCAGTCAGTTGGAGAGAACCACAACTCATACTGAGGTTTATTGTCTTAAAGACATTTTAAGCTCAGGGTGGAGATGGTTAAGGTGTAGCCAGACGGCGGCTTCTTCTACTTTTCAATACATCCCTCAGGAAACATGATGAAATGAAAACCACTGAGGTAAAGTTGAAGGTAGTTCAGCAAAATTTGACCTGATAGTTGTTGGAAACTCACAGCATGTAGCTGCTCACACTCAATCTATATTTATTATTTAATGCTAGTAACCTTTAAAACAGGTTATTGAACCTCAACACCTTTGGGTAGAATCCAAAATGTCTCTGTAATAATAGAATATTAAAGAAAACAATGTACCAATTAAATATAATATCAATAAGTGGTTAATGTCTAGCCAGGTTTTATATTGTAAACGTTCTTACTAACCAGCTTGTGATATGAATCAGAATTTGTCTAGTTTTAGGCTATTTTATTTATTGTTTGGCTGTTTATACAACAGTTGTAATGTAAGATTAATACATGCTTTTCAATTGATCACCTCCATGTTCGAAAATGTGAAATTATAATAATGCAGGATTCAATTAGTTAAAATCTGTTAAATGTTTAATAATGAGTCAATGATTGCCAATTTGTTGGTTGTATTGATTTTTATTGTGTTTATGTATTGTCACTGAGGGCTTCCCCAGAACCCATTCAGCCTCTGTAATGCTCATTTCAAGGGTAAAGCCAAAAGCCTAATAGGGTAAGTAAGTTGTCAAAGCTATTTTTTTCCATATATTATTCATGACGTTAAGTAAACTTTCTTTTGAATCTAATCTAATTACTTTCTCAAACTTTCACAAATAACTGCAAATACATGGAACTGAAAATAAAAAGGCAAATCACAAAAGCAGACAAATTCACTCAGTGAAAAATTATCCTATTTTTCACAAAACTTCAATCAGACAAAACAAAACGTTTAGGCTTATAAAATCATCACAACAATCGCAGGGGATTGCAAACCAAATAATTCATCTATGTTTTTAATTAAGCACAGTGGGTATTTTTTAATGAATTTTAACTATAAGGTGCTTTTTTTCCTAATCACACTTCTGCCTTATAAACATAACCATTTATTTAATAAAAACACATTCATTTTGCCTCAACCCTATTTTGTTATGGTGCCTACTCGTTGTGTCATGAGGTGTTCTGGCAGTGGGATGCCTCTTCATCTCAGCAGATGTGTGGATTCGAGGTGTATTTGGACAGTGAATATGTTAGCTGAAAATAGAATATCAATGAAGACAGCTCTTTGGACCAATGGATGTGTGGGACAACGATCAATACTGTACGTCAACTGCAATGTTTATCTTAACGTGACCGGCACAGCTTTAGCTAATGCAAACAGATGTGGCTGCATACCTGCAATATGGAAGGCTCCTGGTATAACGTGTGAAACAATTTGCTTCAGTGTCTATCTACTGCAGTAATGCAATCGACAAATAAAAGACATTTCAATCTACGGAACAAAGCAGACAAATCTGTGTAACTCACTTTATCAACGTGGTTAAGCAAGAATCTAATATTAACAAAGGAGATCAAACACCATGTCAATTACTTTGGTAAGAAGACAAAATGCACGGTGGACATTTAGTGAATTTCTCTTTGGGCTCTCATATAAATGGAAATGTGCTTCAATGAAATGCGGAGGTGCATCAAAATGGAATATTAGATTTGAATAAATCCCAGTGTTGTGGGAAGGCAGAAAGTACCCTCTCTTTTTTGCGTGAGCGACTTATGTCAGAGCCCATTACAGGTTGCTGAGCTTTCTCTGATCTCCAAATGATAGCAGCCATGCTTATCGGTGCCTCGGTAATACCGTGTATTGCCTTAATATCTCCCTGTTTACTCCCATAGCTGGTCACTGTCCTCTATTTAATATTCTCCTGAGCCAGACATGGAATAAGAAGAGCAATTTCCCTTCTGTTCTTTCTTCCTTTTATTTCCTTCGGCACAAAAAGCTTTGCTAAATAGAGCCTGCTTCTCACCATAATGCACAATATTTGAAACTACAGTAATAGCTTTCACTAATACATACTCTCCTATCTTCAAAATGACAACTAACATACATATGTTTTCAATTTGAAGACTTTGATTCTTCTTCGTATTTTTCAATATATCTCTCTCTATATATATGCAAATATGTGATGACAGGCAATGGAAACATTCACATTGTGAAAATAAGTCATTGTAGTTTAAAGTTTTTTTATGAAGTGCCATCTTTCAGTGATTGAAATAAATGATTGGGTTTGGCTATTTTCCCATTTAGTTATTTGTTTTAGTATTGTTGTTCCTTATGTGTCTTTTAAGACCTCAGTATTAATCTATTAACTGCATGTTTTAGCAACAAAAAAAGTTTGTATTGCTCTTTTCTTAGATTACTTTAATAACTGAAAACCACACAGAGACGCACTCACTCCACCACTGCCTGTGTCTGATCCTGATTTAATCCTGCTCCTTTTCTGTGTTCCTCTTCCTGTTCAGTGTCCAGGCCTGTGATTGACAGGCTGTGCGCGGGTGAAGACCCCCCCTCGGCCGTTCAGCAGTGCTCCATCCCCTGCCAGCCCCTCTGCTTGCTCTCCCAGTGGTCCCCCTGGGGCACCTGCCTACATGACAACTGCAAAGAACCACAGGGGAAGAAAGGTATGATGGACTTAATTTAGTATGAGAGAGAACACGCGTTTGCTTTTGAAAGTTTTGCAGAGCCACCTGCAGAAAATAGTAATTATATCTGAAACATGTTTTAAAACAGAGAATTACTAAAGTGGTAATTAACCCTCCTGTTATCCTTGGGGTAAATTTGACCCCATTCAATGTTTAACATATCTAAAAAAAAATGGTTCACATTTTTTTGCTTAGTATTTCATGACTTTTCCTAATTTAGTGCGGACTAATGGGTAAACAACATAAAATGAACATGAACATGTCCTGTACGCACTTTGTACGCATCGGTGTTCTCCAGGCTGTTTTAGTAGTAAAAACATAAAAATGTCAACATTTTAAACATATTTGTGTTGATTGTGTAGGATGTTATTGAGGTGACTATTACACGCAAATGTATCATTGTAAAAAAAAACGACCCTCTGCTTTAGTTATTGGTCCTTTAACAACATCAAAAAGATCTTACTTTAACATTTTATTTCAGTGAGATTTTATGGTGATTTATATATTTTTCGATTGTCCTGTTTTCAGAGAAGGGAAATCCTCCTAAGTATGTGTGCATTGAGTCGTAATGTGGATATGAGTCATAAACATGAACAACGTTTTTGTCCTGGCTTGAGGGGCGTTCATGTGACTTTTCCCAGTCTGTAAGTAATTTTCAGCCAGCACATGAATGCAACCCCCTATGTATCAACAAAAGTGAGACTACGTTTGAGTATCAGCCCCTTCATTTGGATCCATTACACATTTAAATGGGTTCTATATTGGCTTATAACTGTCTTTCATGAATACAAAAAAAATCAGGCCAGTATTTGTTCCTCTTCTCCTACTGACCAACAAATGTAATTAAAATTAATTATTGGCGGGAATTTATTATACTATTTTAGAAAGTCTAGGTTTTCACAAATATCACTTCCTACAGTACCAACAAAGTCTGCTACCATTACCAGTTTGTACGATTATTTACCAATGACTGCTAACATCAGTTATAATCAGATAGCTCATGTGCACATTGGAAAAAGCATAGCTGCTGTAGCATAATGTAACAATCTAACAAAAAAATGATCAAGGTAATATTTTAAACGCCAACAAAAATGGATGCCAAGATGCATCATGCCTTCCAACCGTTTTCCATTAGCTGTTCTCTCCGAATCGTGTCTGACAGATGGACGGACAGAGGGATGAACACAGGCCATCCGAACGACAGATAGCTAGCTAACAAGCTGAGATGATTTTAAATGGACACTGATCATTTGCACAGATGGGCCAGTGGTGAAATCATAAGCACTCAGTCAAAACACAATTAAAGTTGAGCTCTATTGCAGACACTGTAGTAGATTTACCATCAGCTGTGCAGGGAATAATTGCGAGATGAGTACCTTCAATATGCTCAACAAGGGGCTTTGAACTAACATTGTTAAAATAAATTTGCGTTACACAATGTTTTAATGTCTATACAATACATTGCAACAGTGAAACTAGAAGAAAGTGCCGTATTGCTACAGAGAAGGTGATTTTGTCAGAGCAGCAGAGAGGCAGTAAATGTTTGAATTGTAAATTGTTTGATGATAAGAAGCTGGCTGAAAAGAAGTGTGCCCTGGAAGAAGACAGTACCGCCACAGAAAGACAGAAAGAGAGCACACCTGTAGTTCAGCTCTCAGTCCCAGGAGGGGTTAGAGGAGCTACAGCAGATAAGGTGCCTCCTCTATGCCTGTGTGTGTGTGTGTGTGTGCGTGTGCGTGTGCGTGCGTGCGCTCAAGTATTTGGCGCGCCCGTGCTGTCTGAATGTTCTTGTCTTTTTTCACAGGTGAGCGAGTGTCATATCTGACTGCTTTCGAGAGGCATTGTGTGCATAACGTAGTGTGTGTGTTTCAGCGGGTTGAGGAGCTGTTGGTGTGTTAGCGCTGTGCTAAAAGGGCGACGTGACCTCGCTCCTGCCATGAGTAAATGTGCATGAAAGCCCCCTGGGAAGCGAGTGAAGTGTGGATTGTTCAGGTCAGTGCCCACACTCCTGACGCTGGATCTCTACGGGATGAGCCGGCGTCTCTCGCAGAAAGTGTCATTAATATATTTCCAAGAGTGGAAAACACAGCATCTGCTGTTTCACACAGGGCTCTCCTGTGGCACGGCATCTTTTGATGGCATTCATAAAGATCCACAGTCGATGGAGTATGAAACAAATAGAAAATCACTCGCACTGAGCTCGGTTGTCTGCGAAGCAATGAACAGTTATTGAGTAGTAGGGCGTTGTTATGATCCAAGTCGTTCGCCCGTAGTCCTTGAGCTGAAGGGAATTCTTTGCTTCTATTGAATGTACACTCAGCCTTTATGTTTCACAACATCAGAATAAACTCTGATCCGTCTCTAAACGACAGACCCGCGGGAGCCCAGTGTTCAGGTAGAAGAGCCGACCAGCCTAGGTGCTTATGCAGCTGCTGCTTTGCTCCCCGGAAAATTACACATTTAAATTGCCTCGCAGAAGCTTTTTGTGCTTTTCACATTTTTCCAACTTATCTTGGCCTATCACATTTTGCTGCTATGTGGGAACATGAATTGAGCACGGGAAGTTAGTGACGAGAATTGTATTAATGCCTCTTCTAGAAATCAGAGCATTTCTGAATAAAAGTATGCTGAAAGTAGCTGGATGGGCCTTGTTTCCCTCAAGTTAAGCATGACCATTAAAGCTTTCAATTATTAAAATCCAAAGGGGCATTCCCACACCAAACTGTTTTTTGCAGTTTGTATCTGAGCAGCAATAAATGCTCTGGGCAATACTGCAATCAATACACACACTCTTTGCTCTGAGAGAGCAGCAGCGCCCGGATCGGACTCACACCAGATGGTCATTTGCACAGTGGGCATCCCGGTGTCAGACAGATCCATCGGTAGAGGGAAATAATGTGGGACCTTTCTGCCATGTGTCTGAGCTGTGGTGAAATCAGCATTCCTCAAAAAATTTAAATCTGCTGCTGCTCCAATGATATAGATATATACTGGGTGAGCTGCTGCAGCATAGAGAAGCCATTTTATACAATCATTATTCATCAACAAAGACTGAAGCTTAGTTGGTGATAGATACATTAGATTAGAGCAGGGGTATTCAACTAAAATTCAACGAGGTCCAGTTAGAGAAAATGTCCCCATGCAAAGGTCCGGAACATCAAAATGTCTAAGTTGCTTTATGAATTAGTGTGATATATATTGAAGTAACCTGTAGCTTTATCAACGTCTGCATGTAATCAACAACTGACTGCCAATCAAATAAAGAAAGTACAATTCAAAAACAACAATATTTATTGTCAATTAACATTGAACTATACAGATATACAGTAAATACTGTGGATATGTGTAATGTTCCTCTCGGGCTGCATTTACAAATAAAATAGAGAAAATAAATAAAATAGCTTTTGAAAATATGTGCATCTTTAAAGTGCTTAATTTTAGATAAATAAAATAAAGTATAGCAGCAGCTTGAGTTTCCCTTTTTCTTTGTTAACCGTTTCACATCATGACTTAACAGTTTCAGACGATTATAGAACAATATCAGTCTTTACATCATAACAATTGAACCGTTTTAAAGTTTCTCTTTATTTCCCTCTTATATTGCAGTCCCTCACTCACTTTTTTTAAATTCAGTGTGAGAATTGAGCTCGAGCTTGTCCTGCCAGGAGTTTAGATCTGGGCTGAAATTGTGTCAGGGCCATTCTCATACACATGCAGGTGCTCATTGGTTTCAGTGATGCAAACACAGGTATGGTGAAAAAAGAGAGAACTATTCGAAGCAGAAAAAAAACAGCGTAATATACCATCTGACAAAGGCCTGTGCTATAGTGCTTCAATTAACTGCTATTCTTTATAATATACTCAGATCAATAAGAGACAGAGATGTTAAGTTATAAATCAAGCGTTTTTATTATTATTTACAGCAGGGGTGGGGAACCTTTTTTCCTTTCAATTTTTACAACATCCTCCGAGGGCCGTACAAATGATTGAACTCAACCTCTGCTTAAAAAAACTAAAATCACAGCCCATTCATTTGGCCTTTCTTTCATGCTGTGCAAAGAAAAAGCAACCTCTTAATCCAGATATCTCACCATGACTCATGCATGCATGCACGTGCACGGTGTGGCATGACCACCACAACAAAGATATGGACACAAGATGTGTGCAAATGTATTTAGTTTCCTATCCTGGACCATGTGAACATGATTTAAGATTTAATAACTTCAATATTAAATATTGAAGTTAAAAGCATCAATCTGGTGCACTTTAAGAGCAACATTAAGAGATCTATGGATACATCTCTCAATACCCATATGAAACAGAACTGTAAGCAGATTTTTGTTTTTGGATATTTTACAAATCACTCCCCATTTAAACTCTATTCTTGTTATTTGTAACAACTTTTTTGTTACTGTCATATAGTATTTTATAGCCTACCTGTTTTTCATCTAGTCTCATTAATAACTATAATGATCATATCAAGGTGTGCCTTAACCTCACTGAGCTGAGGTTATTTGAGCCTCTCAGGAGAGAGCTCTCTTCCACCTGGTTGTAGAAAAGCTCTTTAAATTCGTTAGCATAGCTAGCTAACCAGATGCTAATAACAACAGATCGCCACTGTGCTTACAACTAAAGACACAGCCACGTAAACACTGTGGCATGTGTACGGCTCCTTATGGGTAGGCTACTGCAATATTTGAAGGGCTGGAGCGGCGTTCCGGTGCTCTCTGTCAGCACTCCTTTCAGACGAGACATATACCACGTGAAGACACGTTACGCTCGTGTTGTGTTCAAGGAACCTGTCCTTGGCCAGGAAAAACAGGCACTCGCTTGTTTAATTATTTTTGCAGTCTAGATTTCTTCTTCTTTTTTGAAGTGAGAAGTTGTCCGTCAGTCGGAAGGACTCCCCACCAGAGGCGGATTTAGGATTGTAGGAGATCCGGGGCTTAGCCCAGGAGTCGTTGGGTTGGGGGGGGGGGTGCAGAGGTACAGTGCTATTTTTTATAAGTGGGGGGTGGACCGAACATCCTTTTAGGGGGGTCGTCGTCTACTCTAGGGGGGTCCGGGGGCATGCTCCCCCGGGAAGATTTTTTTTAAAATATTGAAGTTGAAAGCATCAATCTGGTGCACTTTGAGAGCAACATTAACCCTACCTTAATAACACCTTAAAGCGGACAAAAGGCACTGGAGAACACTCATTAACACCCTTTAATGAAGCAAACTAATGCCTTAACTCACTCAAATAGTCGTTTACTTATTAAGGTGAAACGAATGTGCATAGAGTTTTAAAGGATGCGGATAGTCTCACCTTGATTCTGGCGCATTGCTCATCGTTTTATAGATCTATTCTCATCCACCATCTTTGTTTGTGACATAAAGAGTGTAACGGCCCGTCCACACAGCGGCGTGCGTTGACGCTTGCCGGCGGGCGTGTCTGACACTCGACCAACAACCAATCACATGAATCTCCCACCCCTGACACAGAAGCAGCGGTTTGATTGGCTTGTACTGGCATATGATTCGATTGGCTGACGCGTCAAAAGTTGAGCATTGCTCAACTTTTGCAGCGAGCCACCTCAGCAACGCTCTGCGTCGCTTCCCACGATGCAGTTCGGCTAAAAGTGACGTCACCCCATTCAAAGTGAATGGGCAGAAGTGTTGGAAGCTTCAACGCATGCCGCTGTGTGGACGGGCCGTAAGAGTCACGTTTCTGAATCGGACACTCTGAGTGGATGCAGTCACAGCCAATCGGAGTCTGATTCAGAGGGTTGCCTGTCAGTTCTGTTGTTATGTGTACTGAAACGAGAGCCGGTATAATTCCACGCGTGAAAACAAAATAAAAATTGGAATACGTTATTTTAGTGTCTTAAAAGTAGACTGAGTTATGAAGGGTTAACGTTACATCTTAGGATCATTTTTAGTCATGTTCTGTATACATACTAACATATAAGGGTATACTTAGTGTGGTTACTCCATGTTTACTAGCTATAACATTAACGTTACATCACTCTTTTTCACTTCTTACTCAGTCAGCCAGAGTGCAGATATCACCATTAGATTAACAAACCTGAAACATCATCCATTTCTTGACTGCTGGTGATGACATTGTTGTCAGCTGCTGATACTGCTGCTGCTGCAGCTTGTGGCCTGCTTCGATGACAATAACTTTCTAATATCCATAACTGTATATGCTATTAGCTTAAAACTCATCAGGCACTAGGAAGGATCACTTCTTCTTCAGGGCAGGCTACGCAGTACGCAGGCTAATGTCCCACAGTGGCTGCCTCTCTGGTGGACTCCGGTAATGCACATTACTCCCGAGACGTTTAAAAAAAAAAAAAAAAAATTAAATTATTAATATTATTTTTTAAGTGAAACATCCGGGGCTTTTCAGAAAACATCCGGGGCTTGAGCCCAAGTAGCCACCCCCTAGCGCCGCCACTGCTCCCCACCCCCAAAACGAAAACTCTTCGGTTCTCCACGAACTACACAAGTCACCCAAATCAGCATTAAAAAAGCGGGAGGCGCCGAAAAATCCCCTATTAATGTATTGATTATAGCTCCGGGTCCGTATAGGTCGGCGTCTGGGTCCGGATCTGGACTGCGGTCCGCCTGTTGCCAACCCCTGGATTAGAGCATGAGGTGTCCACTCGGGAAGTCATTTTTTCACTAAGAACTATGTATTTCATGTAAAAAACAGCTTTTTTTGCCAAGAAAGGAATCGTAAATGTGCTTATTTCATCTATATTTAGGGCAATTTAACATTAACTCCCCTTTAAGATCTCACTGACATTGTCATGATGGACACATATGATCTGAAGTCAATTCTGCCTAGAAACTGCATAACCAAAACAAAATATAACAGTAAACCAAACATAAAGTATGTTGTTAAAAATGTGTAAAATCTGCAGTTATTTCTATTTTGAATCCCCTTATTCGTATTTACTGAAGCCCTACACTAAGGTGCTGTGCAACTGAGGTAGAAGTTAATTGACAGTCAAGTAAATAAGTATTTTTGGCACAAACAGTCTGGGAAGAAAGCAGAGAAAGTCATACCACTAGCTGCTACACCTGATTTGTCACTGCCAGCTCCCTCAGGGGAAACTGTAAAAATCATTGGCACCTTTTATTAGACAAACACAGAGGGGCATAGACTTTACCCAGGTCCAATAAGAGATGTCAATGCTAGCCTTCTAATGTTTAGTTCACACAATGAAAACTATTTAGCGACAACACTAAAGATCATTGTTGCATGTCAGGTCACTTTACAGGAGCTCTGTTAAAGACCCAACAACATAATTCAACAAAGCAGTATAAATACATTTGAATTGCCTCCCTCGTCTCCGGCTTGATTGTGGAACATGTTTGAGTATAATTGGCTAACAGCTGGTCCATTGTTTTGTGTTATGTTCGATTAAACTAATGAAGTACTTATTTTTGAAGGCCTGTAGTCTGTCTGTTTAGAGGAAAATGAAAGTTTCAGGAACTAGCAAAAGTCAGATGCACTGATGCATAGTATGCTCTATTCAACCAGTTTTCAGCTTCAGCATCAGTTTACAGTTTTTTTAATTATCATCATTTAATCTATTAGTTTATCGAAATGTGCACATGTAACTTTGATCTAGAGACCTTTGTTTAGACTTTCCCTAGTCTACCTGAATTGTTTTCCTAACGTTGCTTTGACTTTCCATAAAAACCTTGAAATGTCCTTTATGTTTCCATGTAACTACAAACTGCACCATTTCTAAGACTCAGGTCTTTGCAAAGGCTAATTTCTGTCTTTCAACACAAAGCTATACACTTTCCAACTTTTATTTTTTAACTTAACATTTTGAAAAAAGGACTCTTTTTGTTCCGGCACAAGGAGGAATCCTTTTTCCACTCGTGATCTATCTTGAGAAAATGCAAACCTTTTTCAAAGCAGCTTAAAAAAAAAAGTATTTCTCTTTTTTTTTTACCTCCCATCGTTTTGGGACAACATAACATATTTTTCCTATCTCTTTCCGAGCCCTATAGAAATGGGCTGTTATGATGGACATTCCGTTGTTTAACCACTACAGAGACGATCAGTAGATGCCAGTGTGGAGCCTCAGCTGGCAGTCCCACATTTAGAAACAGAAGCAGTGGCAGCAGTAGTGAAAAGACAGTGAGACTCAGTAATTGGAGCGACAGGTGTCATTGTGAGCGGCTTGCCAGTCATTGTAACTTGACCCCAATCACTCCCACTTTCCAGGTATCTTTTTTAACCACCTTCTCCTCAGCCATGCCGGTTTGTTCATTATCTCCCTCACTTCCCATTTCCTCTCTTCTCTCTTGGGAAAAGAATCCAGGTGGAGATCTCTCCATTAATTCATTCAATTAGTCCCTCCAAGCCATGAAATCCGTACTCCGTATTTATGTTTCTTCATTAAAAACTAAGATAAAATGTGTTTTTAAGGTTTAATTCAAAAGTATAGGTGTGTTTTGTGTTTGTTTTTTTGTGTTGAACGTGAGATAAGGAAAGGTTATACATATGTGCTGTTGAAATCTTTTAAACTAATTTTTAAACAAACAGCATCTGTTGCAGCAAGAAAACATGAACAAAACGTGTTAAAACTGTCACACTAATTTACATGTGGTAATTTCAAGTCAGAAGTAAATGTTGTTAATAATAAAATATATTTGATATATATAAATATATTTATATATATATTATTTATATTATATGAATTCTAACAATAACAAGTAATCTCGCAAAACCAACAAAACTTAAAAAGAGGCAAACAATTAAATGTACTCCAATGTGAGTTGCTTTTTCAGTTTTACCAGAAATGTGTCAATTGCACATGCCTGGTGTATCCAAATCCAGGTGAAGGACATTCTTTTTTTTTAAAGGCACACTCTGGCAGAGTAAATGGATTTCCAACAACCACCCAAACGAAATTATTTCTGGCCCTTTTCCAATATGCACTTTTTGGGTATATCAAAACTTTTAAAAGTTTCATGAATTTACCATACATTTACAAAATCAATACAAGGCAAAACTGCATGAAATGTATTTTGAATTTCAATATGTTGCTTAATAATGCATGTGGAGGAAGTGGAAATGGATTTTAGTTTCACCCTATTCAGGCTGTGGACAGCTCCTGATGCTGAAACCGAGTCTAAGAAGTGCTTACAGTACAACAATAAACATACATTAATTTCTAACAAGAACAGTTTTGCTTTATACAAAACAATAACACAAATCGATGGCGGTCTTGAGATGGCTAACAAGGTACAAAACACAAACTCTTCAAACCTGTCTTCCCTCACACTCCTGTTTTAATAATTTACTCAACATTTGCATGGTTAGCACAGAGCTTATTTTAAGGAGGTGCTGAAGCTGACTATAGTATACATTATGGAACACCTACATAATTGATCACAGGAATAAAAGACAGGTAAAGTCGACATCTAATACTGTTTTCTATTGATTCACTAAAAGGGGCTCTGTGTTCTTTGTATGAGACAATACTCACTGTTGCCTTATTTTTTTGTACAGGAATACCAATTGCTTTTCTGACAATGTTTCCATGTTCTGTTCCTCCCTCACCCTCCTGTTCTCTGTCAGGTTTCAGACAGAGGAGGAGAGAGGTATTGTGGGAGTCCAGCAGTCCTCCGGAGACCTGCCCTTATTTGGTGGAGTCTATCCCCTGTGAGGATCCCGCCTGCTACCTGTGGAAGGTCCAACAGGAAGAAAGATGTGTCCCCAATAACAGCTCCTGTGGTGCGGGATCTGCAGCCCGGAATGTGACCTGTATCAGCGCTGAAGGTAAAGATAACGATTTGTATCATAAAGAAATAGGTAACATACAAATGGAAACCCTCACACTGAATAGTTTTTTTAATGGTTGTTTAATGTGGCACTCTTTCAGCTAAAGCCTATCAAAAGGAACATTATTGATTCTTCAGGAAGCAAATATGTTTGCTTTGTTGTCCAGAGTCTGATGACAACAATAACACAAGTTTTTCTTTTGTTACTTTTGACAGAGCCAGGCTAGCTATTTCCCTTAGTTTACAGTTTTTTGCAATGCTAAGCTAACCTAAACCAACCTAGGCTAACCACTTGGTATACAAATAACATTAAAGTGGTATCAATCTTCTCTTACCTTCTAAAGTGAAGATAATTGAAGTGAAGTGAAGATAATTGAAGATGAAGTGAAGTGAAGATAATGAAGATAATTACACTGATAATACTGATAATATCACTGATAATATATCACTGATAATACAGTGAAGATAATTTTCAAACCACATAAAATAAAAGTATTTCCTACACATTAAAAGGTCATCAATATTTTCTGCTCAACTCTTAGCCATATGCCATTCGTTCGTATAGTCAACATATTGTTCTACTGACGGACTACATTGATTTTTGTCTCCCTCGGTTTTGATTAAATTATTAGTATTATAGCTCCATGTTTGTTTCTGTCACTTTAAAAGGGTGATAACCACAGATTGCAACAGTATTTAGACTAGAGAAGTAAAATCATCAATGCTGTGGTAAAGGAACGTGAAGTTATCAGTAACACTGTCATGCATGTACTCTCAGGTATAATTTGATCCATTGTGCTCAGACGTATCCTCGCGTTGCGTGATAGGAACATCAGCGCTAACGAGGCCCGCAATATTCATGAGGGTCCATCACCGAGTTTATGGGCGCAGGAAACATTGGCCTGATTAAAAGTCAGAATCACAGCTTCCTACCAGGCATTAATTGCTCATCTCCATAGATTATAAACCTAATTGCACTCTTTTTTGCCTCTGTTTTATTATTCTGTCACAATGGATGATGTGTATGTTTATCAGGAAGGCAGCGGAGGGTCCACATTTATTAGCAAACAGGAGAGTCTAATGAGTTTTGACAGGACAACCAAGAATTCAGGCTTTGGCGAGTTTGAGGCAAAGGCTTATGAAATTATCTGCAGCGGATTTATTGTTAGAGATTGTTGACAAGTTGTTTAATTTTGCTTCTTCAATTGGTTTATTAGATTCACCTTTCAAGCATGGCGAGTTATTTTCCCATAAACGTCACATAGGTGTCAAGACTAGATTGTTAAGTAATGCAAGTTAAACGCTTACTTTGAAATATTGGTTACCGTTGGTTCTGTATCCTGTTAAACCCCAATTGAAGTTGTCCAATACAATTCCAAAACACTGTCATTACCTTGTTTTATTTCCATCCTTAAGATTTAAATAAAAAAAATCATGCTTTCCATTTCTACTCAGACACTATACTTTGAGTTTATTTTAAAATATGAAATGGCTGTTTTGTATCATTTGATGAGTACATATTGTTGTAGAAATGAAGCATCTTGCAGTTTGTTTTTACAGTTCCTCTGGTAAAATATGACTTTAATGAGGAAAGATGTTTGGCCAGAAGCAGATGTTGTGTTTTCAAATAAAATGCACCATCTTCATGCCCATAACTCCTACTAAAGCCTAACAAGTATACTATTTTTCAAATGTTTTCTTTACTAAAATGTATGATGAATCAGACTGTGACAAGTTGCTATGATTATTATTTTATCTCAGTGTGCACTTCTGATTATGGTTAAGATTTTATAAACATAGAATACGCCTTTAGTTACTCTTCTGTTTTCTGCTTGACATATAACATCCGTAGACCTCTGAGAAAGCACTCGCTAATTGCTATCTGTCCCTACATCCAGACTCGACAGAAAGCTCTCCCTTTCAGCCGTGCCACAACAAGAGATGATGCACAATTTGTCTTTGTTATACTGAAATGTTGGAAAAAGGCAGAAATGCTTCGCTACTGCTAAAAGGTTCAAGGTTTTAAAAATACTTTTAAGGTCAGAGATTATTTAAAGCTGCAGAACAAAATATTCCCAATATCAACACAAAACAACCTTTATCATATATATATATATATATATATATATATATATATATATATATATAAATATATATATATATAGAGCTTTCTGTATATATATATACATCTTACTGTATACTGTATAAAAAGAACAGTTCAGCACACAGTTGAAATACGTTTGACCTGGCCTTCTCCCACTCTCCTCTCATCTTAAGTCTCTCAGGGTGAATAATGAATACAAACAGCTAAATAAAGAACACAAAAGCAAAACATAACTGACCATGGCGGCCACTTCACATTATTACGATAGTTACGTATGTAACTACGGTTCTATGAATAGCACTGAATATCTTCTGTCTCGCGCATGCGCAGGTCGAATATTTATATCAACAAAGTCACGTGTGACCTCGTATGACCCCGGAAGGCATAAGTTCCGGTGTTGTCAACGAGTTCAGTCCTATGGAATCTTCTCGCGGAAACACGAGATTCCGAGTGACCAAGAACTCTGGCGGTCATCCAGGATTCATAGAACCGTAGTTACATACGTAACTATCGTTCTATTTCATCCTTACTGACCGCCAGAGGCGGTGCTTAGCACTGGATGACTTATACCAACAGAGTCACGAGGAAGTCTGAATACTTACCCTATATGGATGGCCTAGGTGGACTCTGCAGGAGGACCACACCCAGCAGGTGAGGGGCGGCAACATTCACCCTGTAGTATCTGGCGAATGTGCTCGGAGATGCCCATGTGGCCGCGGCACATATGTCCTCCAGGGGCACACCTCTCAAGGTCGCCCATGACGTGGAGACACTCCTGGTAGAGTGGCACTTTACTCTGGATGGCAAGGAACGGTCATTCGCCTTGTATGCCTGGGCAATGACGTCCACGATCCAGTGGGACAAGCGCTGTTTTGAGAGCGCACGGCCCCTTCTAGGACCACCATAACACAGAAAGAGCTGTTCAGACTGATGCATGCCTGCGGTAGTCTGGACATAAGCTCTAAGGGCCCGCACCAGGCATAGGAGTCTTGACCTCTCTTCCCCCTCTCCTGATGGGGGGGTCAAACCTTGCCAGCTGGATAGGCCGATTAAAATGAGAGCGTGCCAGCACCTTAGGGAGGAACGCTGTGTTCGGCCATAAGGTGACACCTGAGCCATCTGAGTTCCACCTCAGACACAAACTGTTCACGGACAAGGCCTGAAGCTTGCTTACACGCTTTGCTGAGGTGATGGCAAGAAGGAAAGCAGTCTTAGCTGAGAGCCACCTCAGTTCTGCCTGTTACAAGGGTTCAAAGGGAGCCGAGCATAGGGCATCCAGCACCAAGGGCAGGTCCCATGTAGGAGCCCTTGGGATGTTCGGGGGGCGATGCCTCAGAGCTCCCTTTTAAAAAGAGGCATACCAGCCTATGGCTCCCCACTGTGTTGTTGTCAACCCTTGCATGTTGAGCTGATATAGCAGCCACATACACCCTGACGGTAGCGGGACACCGGCCGTCGTCCAGGAGGGACTGCAGTAACTCAAGGGTAGTAGGCACCGAGCAATGTACTGGGTCCTCATTTCGCCCTTGGCACCAGTCAGAAAACAGTTTCCACCTGTTTTCGTACTGCCTACGAGTAGATGGTGCCCTAGCATTGAGAATAGTCCTCCTGACAGGCTCTATGCAGTTGCTCAGCAGTGGGTCGGGCCCTCCAGTGGCCAGACCCACAGCTGGAGGCGGCAGGGGTGGCCACTGGTTCCTTACCTAAACCCCCCTGGTGGTTTATGTGATACACCGTTGTAGTGTTGTCCGAGCGGACAAGGACATGCCTCCCCCTCAGGTATGGCAGGAAGTGCCTGAGTGCTAGGTGCACAGCTCGCAGCTCTAGCACGTTGATGTGTTCTGTGCAGTCCTGAGCAGACCACTGCCCGGGCCCGGGCTGTCCTGTTTTGCCACACTGCACCCCATCCCGAGAGGCTGGCATCCGTCGTAACGGTCTCTCTGCGGAAAAGGACGGAGCCCGTGGCCACGCCCCTCAACATATGCGACCTCTCGCTCCATGGGTATAGAGTGGAGAGGCACTGTTGTGACACCCTGATTTTTCTGTGCCTGTGCAACTTGGGGTCTAAGTGGAGGCCGTTCAGCCATCTCTGCAGGGGGCGCAGTGACAACAAGCCCAAGGGAACGACAGTTGAGGCAGCTGTCAGCTTGTCAGCTTGCCCAAGAGGCAGATTAACCAGTCGTCTAAGTATGGCAGAATCTTCATACCCTGAGACTGCAGGGGCGAGAGGGCTGCCGCGACACACCTGGTAAACACCCTTGGGGAGAGGGAGAGTCCGAATGGGAGCACCCTGAACTGGAAATGACGGCCTCTGAAGGCAAAGTGAAGAAACTGCCTGTGATGAGGCACAATAGGCACATGAAAATAAGCGCCCTTCAAGTCGACGGACGTGAACCATTCCCCCCTGTCAACGGTACGAAGAACGTCCGTTGTGCTCAGCATATGGAAAGGTAAAATCTTTAGGAACTTGTTGAGTCCCCTCAGATCGAGGATTGGGCGAAGTCCACCGCCTTTCTTCCTTACCAGGAAGTTGGTTGTGTAGAGGCTGTGAGATGGGGTCCACGGACTCGATTGCACCCTTGGCAAGGAGGACTGACAGCTCCTGGTTTAGGGTGACTTCTTTTGCCAGAGGGCTGGGGGCCGGCGTCGGAACTGAAGCTTGTACCCTTGGGTTAAGGTGGAAACCACCCAGGGGTCTGAAGCTTGAGCTACCCAGTAGTTGAGCTGCTGCTGGGAGAAATAACCGATAGCCGGCCCTAGACCCTCAGTACATTGCCCCCGGCCTCTGGAGGCTCTGGGGGGGGCGACGGTTAGGTATCGGATACCGAGGCTGCCTTGGGGGCGAGTTAACAGGACCGTAGCGGGCCGGACCCCTCGTGAGACGCTGAGGCCCA